GACTGTTGTCTCCGAGCCATCAATAAGTTATTATATTTATTTCTTTTACGTTTGCTTACTGTGTCCTGGCTTCTTGTTTTGTTTTGATATGCCCAAATAGGCTGCTTATATGAGCTAGTTTGATTATTGGCACCTCTGAAACTCTAATGTCCTGTCACCAGGTGGTCAGATCTGTTACTAGGTATGTGAGCTCCGGAGTCCACCCACTTTTCCTGTATGGATTCAGTTTAGGTCCCCAGGTAGATAGCCACCAAGTGTGTGGTGTAGGCTCTTACAGTCCTAGACAGGCATGGGTGATTGGTGTAGGCACAGGCATCTGGCTGCAGCAGGGGGACACACTCTGAGCAAGGCAGGAGGCCGACGGCAGCCCCTGAGTGTCCAGGAGGAAGGCATGTCCCTGTTCCCTAGAGCGCGTTTGTGGGTGGGTTTTGCAGCTGGACTATAAGCACCTAATGCTGTTGGCTGTAAGGACTGGGGGACACCTTTTATTCATGGGCAGCTTTCATAGGTGGCTAGGTGGCATGGGTGGAGCCACCAGTCCTCAGGCCCCTGATGTTGATAGGTGAAGACCCTGCTTAATGGGCAGAGCAGTGTCAAATGTCAAGAACCTGCCACTTCATGGCTGAAACAGTTGAAGTTAGACTTCTGTTATATACCCTGTTGTACTGTGGTAATGAAGGCCTATGCTGTTGAAATGGTCCCACACAAGTCTATGCAGGGGAAAAGGCACTCAAAGTTCATGGATCCCTTATGCCTGTGCCTAAGCAAAGGAGCTGTGCCTACCCTGGGTTCCTGGCTTAGGGGAGCCAGCAGTTAATTTTTTCCCGTTTGTTAATTTATTCACTCTCCAAGGCAGGGAGAATGGCTCTGGGCATGTGACAGATCCTACTTCCACCCCAGGGGACTTGGGAATTGCTAAAGCCATTCCAGGACCCAGTGCAGAGTAGGGAACGGGGAGGTAAATGGGAGAGAAGTTTTTCCCTAAGAGGGGTGTTTTTGATCCGTTTGGTAGGCCGTACCCAATTACTTATCTTTCATCGAGGTCTACTTCTCACTGCTCCTGGTTTGCCGTGTAGACCCTCTGGCACTGGGTCTCTCTCGGTGCAGAAAATGGGCCTCCCGAGCACCACCACTTGCCTGCCTCACTGCTCCATCCTAAGCTGATCAGGCCTGAAGGGCTCAGGTTCTCGCAGGGTCAGGTCTGGCAACTCCTCGCTGCTTCCAAATGGTCTCTCCCTCCCCCTGCCACTCAGTCTGGTTCCTCTACTCTGCCTTTGATGTTCAGGCCTCCCAGATTGCCATATATAATCAATTCACTTGTTTTTTCGGGTCTTTGTTGTAAGAGGATCCACTGGAAGCATCCGACTACTCCGGCATCTTGGCCCCATGTGGGGTGTGCATTTTTTTTTTAAATTTTTTATTGTACTTCAGGTGAAGGCTTACAGAACAAATAATTTCTCATGAAACAGTAGTACACATATTGTTTTATGACATTGGTTACCAACCCCACAACATATTAACCCTCTAACTTCTCAACCTTTTTTTTTGGTGAAAATACACATAGCCAAAGATACACCATTTCAAAAATTTCTACATGCACAGTTCAGTGACATGGACTACGCTCTTCCAATTGTGCTGCTATTCTCACTTTAGATGAAGGCTTACAGAACAAAATAGTTTATCATTTAACACTTAGTACACACGTTGCTCTATGACAATGGTTAACAACCCCACTACATGTCAACACTGTCCTTACTGAACCTTGGGTTCCCTATCACTAGCTTTCCTGTCACCTTCTGCCTTCTAGTCCTTGTACCTGGACTGCTGTGCCTCATTAGTCCCGTTTTGTTTATGGGGCTGTCCAAACCCCGGCTGAACAGTGAACCTTGGAAGTGACTTCACCACTGAGCTAAAAGGGTGTCTGGGGGCCATACTCTCGGGGTTTCTCCAGTCTCTTTCAGGCCAGTAAATCTGGTCTTTTTTTTTGTGTGTTAGAATTTTGTTCTGCATCCTTCTCCAGCTCTGTCCAGAACCCTCTGTTATCCTGGTCGGAGCAGTCCGTAGTAGCCGGGCACCATCTAGCTGTACTGGACTCAGTCTGGTGGAGGCCTTAGTGGCTGTGGTCCATTAGTCCTTTGGACTAATCTTTTCCTTGTGTCTTGTTCTCTTCATTCTCCCTTGCTCCCAAAGAGGTGAGACCAGTGGAGTATCTTAGATGGCTGCTCACAGGCTTTTAAGAACCCAGATGCTACTCACCAAGGTAGAATGTAGAACATTGTCTTTGTAAACTGTGTTTTGCCAGTTGAGCTAGATGTTTTCGGAGACCATGGTCCCCACAACCCTCCGCCCCGCAGCTCAGTCCCTCAGGGAGTTTGGATGTGTCTATGAAGGTTCCATGACCTTTCTTTGTACACATTGTGCTGGCTTCCCCAGTATTGTGTACTGTCTTACCCTTCACCCAAGATACCACTTATCTATTGTCTATTTAGTATTCCCCCCCTCATCCCTCATAAAGAACAAAGATTGTTACTTTTTGTATGTAAACTTTTTCATTGGTTTTTACAATAGAGGTCTCATACAATATTTGTCCTTTTGTGATTGACTTAGTTCACTCAGCATAATGTCCTCCAGTTTCATCCATGTTATGAGATGCTTCACAGATTCATCATTGTTCTTTACCGTTGTGTAGTATTCCATTGTGTTTATGTACCATAATTTGTTTATTCATTCATCTGCTGATGGGCATTTAGGTTGTTTCCATTTTTTTGCTATTATGAACAATGCTGCCATGAACATAGGTGTGCATATGTCTATTCGTGTGACTGCTCTTATTTCTATAGGATATATTTCTAGGAGAGGGATTGCTGGATCATATGGTATTTCTATTTCTAGCTTTTTAGGGAAGTGCCATATCATTTTCCAAAATGGTTGTATCCTTTTGCATTCCCACCAGCAGTGCATAAGAGTTCCGATCTCCTCGCAGTCTCTCCAACATTTGTTATTTCCAGTGTTTTTGATTCGTGCCAGTAATGCTGGGGTGAGATGGTATCTCATTGTAGTTTTAATTTGCATTTCTCTAATGGCTAGGGAACACGAGCATTTCCTCATGTGTCTGTTGGCTGCTTGAATGTCTTCTTTGGTGAAGTGTCCGTTCATTTCCTGTGCCCATTTTTTAATAGGATTATTTGTCTTTTTGTTGTAGAGGTGTTGGATTTTCTTGTAGATTATGGAAATTAGACCTTTGTCTGACTTGTACTGTCCAAACATTTTTTCCCAGTCTGTAGGTTCTCTTTTTACTCTTTTGGTGAAGTCTTTTGAAGAGCATAGGTGTTTGATTTTTAGAAATCCCAGTTATCTAGCTTATCTTCTGGAGTTTGTGTGTTGATGGTTATGGTTTGTGTCCTGTTAACGCCGTGTATTAGGGCCTGTAGCCTTAGTCCTATTTTTTCTTCTATAAGCTTTATAGCTTTTGGCTTTATATTCAGGTCTTTGATCCATTTTGAATTAGTTTTTATATATGGTGTGAGGTATGGGCCCTGTTTAATTTTTTTGCAGTTGGATATCCAGTTTTGCCAGCACCATTTGTTAAAAAGACTGTCTTTTCCCCATTTGATGGTCTTCGGGCCCTTGTCGAAGATAAGGCGACCGTAGATGGATAGATTTACATCTGACTTCTCAATTCTGTTCTATTGGTCAATGTATCTGTCGTTGTACCAATACCGTGGGGCTGTTTTTAAAGCCCTGAGGGTGAACACTCTGGAATGCTTTTAGCATTACCCGTGTTCTTACTCCTACACACTCCCATGAAGACAAACAGGCAGAGAGACAAAGAACACAAGTTCCAGATGCACTCAGACAGAAGGTCATCCGTTCAAATCAGAGGGACGCTCACCAGATGGCAGGGTTCTAGTCCTATCTACCACGGACCACCTTATGGACCTGCCAGGATTCAAATCCACCAGAAATAGTACTTGCCTGATTATTGCATATTTTTTCCCTCGCTTTCCAGAGTTGCTGCTGGGTTCAGAGCGCATCCACCCAGAGTCCAAAGAGGGGCCCAGACAGAACAAGAAGTCCTTGTCAGGCCAGGACTAGCACACCCTGAACACCAAGTGGAGCTCCTGGCTGGTTCGCCAAAATATGTTACAGACCTCCAGGTCTTGCTCTACACGACACTGAGGTAGAAGCTGGGTGAAAGCGAAAGAAGAAAAACTTTATTTTTTGGCCAAGCAAAGGAACTCACTGGGACATGTGTTGCCAAGATGGCTCTCTGATGGCTAGCATATGGGTTTATATATGGGGAGGAAACAGAATAGGGCTGGGCTCTTCAGGGCGTGTTCAGGGGCATGGTCCATCAGGATTGGTGGGCAGCTCCTGTAATGATGCCACCCTCACCGGATCAGCACCATCCCACTGGGGCCTTGATGGAGTGGAAATGGCAGCTTAGCTCTGCTTGGCTGCCATCCAGCAGTTTCCCAACTCACTTGCCATCTTTCGGTTTCCCGCCTCATCACCTTCTCTTCTCCTTCCCCTTAGCAGCAGATGGAGCCCTCGGGTTCCAGAAAGAGGGCCCACCAAAGTCATCCCTGACTCAGTGGAGTCCCAGGTGGAGGCTGGTCAGGAGGACCATGAGCAGGCTTGAGGCCAGACACACGGGGACCCCCAGGACAAGAGGGGATGAAGGGACCTTGAACCACCATTTCCACTAGGCCTTCCTGACCACCCCAGGAGCCCCCACCCCAAACGATCTCACTCATAGACCTAAGCTAGATAGATATACACTTCGTAACATAATCCCTAATATCATTTCTAGAACGTTAAACAGTGTGCACACTGTGGGGGTGAAGCAATATTAAAATGAAAGGGGACAAGTCCCACACAAGGGGCAGCCATGCCCCCTAGCAGCTGCTAAGCCCCGTCACAGGCTGGGGGCACTGCTTGAGTGGCACCAAGGCGGGAGTAGGGAGCTGGGGGCGCCCTTATCATGGGGGTAACACCAAGGGGACAGCCCCCTCCCCCAAGAAGGGCAAGGAAGTAAGAGGGAGATGGGTGATGGGCTAGGGGGACAGGCGTGATGATGGAGAGATGAGGGATGTGCCCCCAACTCATAGGCTGTGCTACACCCTTGTGGGGCTCAGACTTTCCATATCCCTGCCCTCGGCGTGCAGGCCGTCGGGTCCTGAGGCCCAGCATCCACCCATAGACCCCTCACTTCACAGCCCATCATCTGAGGATCCAGCACTCCGGGTTTCTCAGGCTTCCAAGACCTGGTTTCTGTACATTTGTGTAATTGTGCGCTCTGACTCTTGAGGACTGAGAGAATGTTCCAGAAGGGATGGGCAGGTACAGACCAACCCAGGACTGCTTTAAGCAAACCCCCTGCAGGCACTACACCCTGAGATCAGAGGTCTCCTCACAGGAGCTCCAACTCACCCCCTAGACAGGCCCTTCCTGTTTTCTCTCCACCCTTCTGTGGACAACGCTCCAGGACAGGGCACCACAGAAAGCTCCAGATAAGTGACCTACCTTGTCTGGAGCGCACCCTGGTAGCGCTTCTGCATTCTTCCTTGGCACGTTGGCCTGCCCTGACACGGGGGAGGGTAATTTTTTGAAGGGCTTTCCCCCCACCCCAAGTATTTTTAGTGTTTTTCACCAGGAGAGAAGTTCAAGATACCTCCTTTGCCCTGATGCTGGAAACAAAATCCCCATGTACTACTTTTTCCTTTTAGTGTTACTATATTCAGATTACTTACCCTCCCTTCCCTTCCCTTCTCCTGGAGGTGGCAGCAGACAAGGGGCCTAGGAAGCAGCAGTTCAGGAGATTTCTAATAAGTGAGTCTATGGAGGCTCCCAGGGCTGGCTTCTCACTGTCAGAGAGTCCACAAATACCAACGGGAAAAGGCTGGGGGAGCTCTGAGGGGTCAGGTTGGAACTGGAGTTACCAATGAGAACTCAAGGGGATTAAATACATGCGCCTAGAGAGAAATACAAGTAGACATAAGTGTGTGTGTGCCTGTGTATGCGTGCGTATTTACATACGTCTATTTCCCAGCTATGTCCATTGAGTGGGCCTAGAAGCAACAAGAGATAAAAAGAGACAGACAGACATGGATATTCTCCCTGGGTCGTGCAAACAGTTACCACTTCTGCTGCTAATTAGAAGGTGGGTGGTTTGGGTCTGCCCAGAGGTGCCTTGGAAGAAAGACCTGTAATCTACTTCCAAAAAATCAGCCATTGAAAACCCTGCAGAGCACAGCTCTACTCTGACACACATGGGGTCGCCATGAGTCAGGCTGACTCCATGGCAACTGTTTATAGATAAATGACACGCATACAGACACAAACACAGACAAGACAAAGACACAGATACAGATACAGATGGGGGAGCACGTGGTAAAACCTAACAGTTGGGAAAACTGGGCGACAGGATTAGGAGTTTTTGTACTGTCTTTGCAACATTTCTGAAAAATTTAAACCATCTCAAAATGGACAGACATGCATGGCCCTTCCTCCTGGCTGGTCACTGTCAGTGAGGACTTCAAATTTAGTAACATTCAGGCAATGAAAAGGAACACTCTTTGGGGATTAAAGCCGGAGAGGAGGCACGGAGAGCTGAAGTGTCTTTGGGCCAGTGCCCAGCAGGGAGGCCCCCAGATGCTGGGCACCTTAGACCTCCAGCAGCCCAGCTTATGCGTGGATTCCTGATCCACAAAACCCAAGACATAATAAAGAGCAGGTGTTTCAGCCACTAGTTTGGGGCTCTTTGTTGCGCACCCCTAGAGAGCTAGCCTGTGTCTCTGGCCCTCAGCCCAGCACCTCCAGAAGATGGAAAGACCTTCCTTTTTGCAGATGTGGAACTCTTACAAGTGCCGTTGTCACCATCATTATCAATTTCAGAGGCTATCACTTATGATTGTTGTTCTAAAACTGATGGCACCCAACCCCATAGGGTCTGCTGGTGTGAAAAGCTTGAGAAACTGCCCCGCAGGGGCTTCTGTAGACCCTCACAACCTCTTATGTGATTCCCTCACAGAAGGCGCTGGTCCCCCTACCAGCCCAGCACTGCTAGACCCTCCTTGAGGAGCCCCCAAGGCCCAGGCTTTCCATTGAGCAGAGACAAAGGTATCCCCCCCAAAACCCACTGGAATCAACCTTGGGATGGGGGAGGAGCCCAGGCCAGGACCAGCACAAACCAGGAGAAAGAATACAACTGGAAGGGGCCTTGCACCTGTCTGTCAAGGCATCCAGAGATGTCCCAACGCTGACCTCAGGCCCCACAACATGGACACAGCTGACTCAGCCCCTGGTTGGCCAAGGGCCATGGGTGTCCTGTTGGCTGTTTCCTTGCTTAGTCTGGGGCCAGAGTCAGAGTTCAGGCTGGGGTTGGGTCTCAGCTTTGGGTCAGAGCTCAGCCTGGGTTCTGGTCTTGGCTTGGGGATGAAGCTCAGGCTAGGGTTGGGGATCGGCCTGGAGCCAGGGCTCAGCCTTGGACTGTCCTCAGTGCAGGGTTCCAGTGGTCTAGTCTAAGGTCTCAGAGAGTCTGAGCAATTCTGAGCACAGCCCTGGAAACAGCCAGAGCTCTGGTGCCCCCATGTGGTCATCATCCACACTGACGACACACCTCGCGTGAGGCTGCTCTTGGTCTTAAGGGCTCTGGCTAGTGGAGGTGGTGTTTGGGGTTTTTAGAACAATCTCAAAAGAAGGTCACAGTCATGCGCCAAGTGTTCCACCTGGAGGCGCCATGGTGGGTATGCACCTGTGTCCTGTGTCCTGTGCAGCCGTGTTATTGGGTGTGTACCACGCAGTTATGTCAGCCTAGATGGTGATGGCTCTGCTCCAGGCTCCCAGGCCTGGGAGTGATGCCCGCGGTGGAAGCTCCTGTCTCCTCTGGTTGGGTCAGTGGGTGGTGGGAACTCCCGTCTCCCCTGGTTGGGTGGGTGGTGGGCAGCCTTCAGTAACATGGTTTACTTTCGTCAAGCTTTGCACACTTCTCTCATTTGGTGTTATCTTTCCCATCACCAAAGTAACAAGTGCCTACTATCTAGATGAGGGAATTCCCCACCCCCCATCCTTCGTAACCACTAATGAACGTTAGTTTCTATACAGTTGCCTGTTCAAGCCATCTCATAAAAGTGAGACTATTTATCTTTTTGTGATCGACTTATTTGCATAGCATAATGTCCTCCACGTTCATCTATATTTCAAGATGTCTCGGGAGCTCATTTTTCTTTATTGCTGAGTAGTATTCCATTGCATGTATGTAGCACATTTTACTTATCCATTCTTTGGGAAGTCCATGGTATATTCAATATTCTTCACCAACATCACAATTCAAAGGTGTCAGTTCTTCGGTCTTATTTATTGTCCAGCTTTAGCATTCATATACTGTGATTTAAAATACCATGGCTTGGGTCAGGCACACCTTAGGCTTCAAGGTGACATCTTTGCTTTTCAACACTTTAAAGAGGTCTTTTGCAACAGATTTGCCCAATGCCAGTGCGTCTTTTGATTTCTTGACTGCTGCTTCCATGGGTGTTGATTGTGGATTCAAGTAAAATGAAATCCTTGACAACTTCAATCTTTTTATTTAAATTTTATTTTCGTTTTTCCCCATACAAAAATTTATACATACATTGTTATGTCACTCTAATTGCTCTCCGCATACTGTGACAGCACACTCCGCCTTTCCACCCGATTCCCCATGTCCATTCAACCAACTCCTAACCCTCTCTGCCCTTCCATTTCACCTCCGGAAAGAGGCTGCCCTTACAGTCTCTTGAATCTACTTGAGCCAAGAGGCACACTCACCACGAATATCACTTTACGTCCCAGAGTCCAGTCCAAGCGCTGTCTGAAGAGTTGGCCTCAGAATTTGTTTTAGTTCTGGGCTGATAGAAAATCCAGAAGCCATGTTTTCCGGTGTTCCTCCAGTCTCAGTCAGACCATTAAATCTAGTCTTCATACGAGAATTTGCGTTCTGTGCCCCACCTTTCTCCTGTTCCACCCGGGACTCTCTGTTGTGTTCCCTGTAAGGGTGGTCATTGGTGGTAGCCGGACACCATCTAGTTCTGCTCTCAGGCTGATGAAGTCTCTGATTTATGCGGCCCTTTCTGTCTCTTAGGCTAATACTTTCCTTGTGTCTTTGGTGTTCTTCATTCTCCGTTACTCCAGGTGGTTAGGACCAACTGATGCATCTTAGATGGCCGCTTGCAAGCTTTTAAGACCCCAGATGCCACTCACCAAAGTAGGATGCAGGACATTTTCTTAATAAGCTTTGTTATGCCAGTTGACCTAGATGTCCCCTGAAAGCATGGT